TCCCCCCTCGCCAGTCTGCCGCAGTGATAGATAGCCGATAGCTGTAACGATAGCCCGCTCCGCCGCTCCGCTGGTTGCCGCGGATTTATTTGAGCCTTTTAAAGATATATTTTTATGAGTAAACAAACGACTGAGTAGATTTATCGATATGTAGAGTATTCGTGAGTTTATGTTGAGCGCGGCGCTTGCGCCGAGGGACCGGCGACGGTCGATAAAAATCGTATTATATCGAGATAGTTCCGCCGATCTACGTACTTTACGTCTGTGTCGATTACGGGATGAAATATTTTGTTTTGGATTTATAAAATCCGCGTTTCGAAATTGAGCTTATGTATTCGTGTAATCGCCTTTGGTTTGTGGCCTATCCTTTGCAATAAATAGAAATTATGTAATTTTTTGATGGCGTTTTTGGATACTAGTCTGTTTATGTGATTGTTTTTTTTTGCATTTTTACCAACGATGGAAAACCACATCTCATTAATTAAGATTGAATCAACCTAATATTTATGTAAGAGAGTTAAGGGCAATATGTGACATTATTCCGAGAGGTGCAAGTGAATATTGAGTCGCTCGTTATTATTTGATCGTTACGGTCCGTGGCAATGAGTCGCACTTGTGAACTGAACTGAATGCAATGTCATGTATGAGTCGCTGTGTTGGTACATATGTTAAGTGTTGCATGGGGTTCCATGGAGCTGCCATAACTTTGTGATCAGTTTGAATACTTTTATATTGCTGAAAGAATGAAGTGTTGATAATGTTAAGAGTAGACCTGCTAGACTGTAACCCTGCGTACAACGTTGATTGGAGAAAGATTCACTAGCACTTGTTTGATCGTTATTATTTACAGATACACAAATTTTATTATATATTTTTTCAAATGTAAATTTTGATTATATTAAGTATTAGATACTACTATTGTGATCCGGTGGCTTTATCCAATCAATTCTAAACTTTACTTACGCAATACTTTGTTAAAATTTTGTTTTCGACTAAATCATTGATATGAATTATCATTGAAATACAGATGTTTGAATTTTTATATGGTCTATTTATTTGTTGTTGCTTTGTTTTAAAAGCTTTATTGGAGTAAAGCCTTTTAAGCAGTAAGTACATGAACGATGTCTGGAACAATAATAAAGTACTTAAATGATTTTATCTATTTCTTTTACCTTAATAGCCGATACCTAAGTACTTGAGATTGTTTTGGGTTTACATGCTCGGAAGAATTATAAACTTTAATTTTTGCACGAACAGTATTACCCATGATCGTCTGCCTTGTGAGACTGGGCTGGGAACGAAGTGCTATTTGGTGTATTGATCTATTTTTAACCGCTTGAATGCACCGATATGAGACACAATAGAAAATACATTATGTTTCGCGTGGGTACACGTTTAGACACACGACGGGATAATAAGGGTGCAGTTCCATTGAGGCGGAGCGGAGAAGAGCTGTGCCGCGATTCACCAATCACATGGCTTGAAATCCACATCTCTTCTCCACTCCGCTGAATTGGTTGTAGTTGATTGGTGAATCGCGGCACAGCTCTTCTCCGCTCTGCTCCGCTTCGTCTCAATGGAACTGCACCCTAGAGGACGTAGAGGTTCATAGAGTTGCCTACATGGCAAAGAGTATAATAAGACTACATGGGCTATAATGGGCAGTAATAGAGCATGGTACTTAATTAAAACTATGCAAATGCATACGTCCGTTCCACTCACAGAGGAATCACAGGCTCCAATTTGTAGAAAATTTTTCAAATGCATATATTATTGACTGATTAGTAGGTGTATGTGGCGCCATCTACCGATGTCAGTTGTTAAAAGTACGCTCCATTAACGAGCATGCTTGAAGAGATTAATGAAATTACACGAGGCGAAAGAGACATGATGGACAGAATCGTGTTCATTGACGTTCAATTGTTTCAATTTGCCTCTGCCTACCCCAATGCTTGACAGGCGTGACGATATGTAATAAATAAGTCAATGGTAAGTATTATAAATTACATTTAATACACAAAAATACTTATTTGGTTGAGTACTGAGTGATCTAGAGCATATACGAGTATATAGATATCCATAGTACGGGTACCACTTTACCCATGACATGAACATTAGGTAGGTAGGTGAAACCTACTTCCGCATGTATCTTTCGTTTATATCTACTAGGTACGAAAGATATATGCGGCGTTAATCATTTATTATTACCTACTGCATCTGGTCAAACAAGAACATATGCCAATGAAGTGAAAATATTCAATTAAATAGTATCTTCGACATTTGAAAC